GTCACTGCCAAAACTTTTGGCCATGACTGTATGTGTGTGTGTACCATTACCGTTAAAATATTACAGGTGTGTAGACTTTCTCTTGATCTTTATGTTATAAAAATGAACACAAGCTCTCACTGCAATTTGAACTGATAAGCCAGTCTGAATTTAATATTTAATAATCAAATAGTCTAAATCTATTAAAAAAAGGACAATTTGATTCATACTCAAGTCTTTTCAATGATGTTAAACATTTTTGACATTGATAATCTTGCATAATCGTAAACAATTTGATAACATGATAGATAAAACAGTTTATCATGTTTTCTGTTTATGTCTTTGAATTAGAGATTATTTAATTTTTATTGTTTTTTTACAGGCAAATAAATAAATAATGTAGAAATAGAGCAAAAAGCATATTTATCAGTTGGGCCTTCAGTTTCATTTCTGCTGTTTTCATATTGTCTATTCAATGCCCCAATGGAGTTTATTATCAGTGTAAACAATGTAAATGATCATAGGGGCACACAGAGGACACATTTACTGATTGCTGAATGTCTTTTTTACAGCTCTAATCTAATGATGAGCACTGGAAAGGAGAGTAACACTGAATAAAGAGGAGAGGAGGCTTGTTCTCGTCTGTTGCCCTGCAGTCTGACCCAGAACAAGAGAGACGGAGGATGGGGCGTGGTCTTTTTGAAGGTTAAAAGCTTGTCTCATTTGTGTACTCAGAAACCCAGAGGCACTTCCACATTAAACTAACCAATCACAGAACACAAGACACACCTGCTCTTAGAAGAAGGCCAGGGATTGGTCCCAGCGTAAAAATGACACCTGGGCAGGGCTCCAAGGTGTACCTGAAAACCTAGATGTTTTGTTGGAACAGTTTCTTCGCTTCAGGAGCTTTAGGAGATTGTGTTTCTTCTCATGCTTAAGACTCCATTACTATTGTCTATGCGTCTTCATCAGGTACCTTCAGACCGGTTAGAGAGGTTTGGCCTAACGTGGAATGAGCAATCATACCTTTAACAAGTGGAAGGAGCAGGAAGTGCTCTTCCTCAGCTAAAGCGACTCTGCGACACAATGGCATCTCTTGTCCTGGAATCCATACTGAATGACGGCAACAGGAATTCATAGGGTAACTAATAGTTTTTTTTATTATTTGAATATGTTCAACAATTTGACTAAATATTTCATCAATTGCAAAAAAAAGTTTTTATATGTATCTCAGGTAATATATACAATATTATAGTTTACTATTAATAAATGCTAATAGTAAACTATTAAAAAGGACAATGAAATGGTAAAAATATATAAATTATATTTTAGATAAAAAAAATCTTCCTTTCATTCTATAGTGTAAAAATCAAGTATGAATTTTAGTCTGAAATATGGATAATTAAGATTTGTGAAACAATAAAGGACTATGAGTGCCCAGCATGTTAACTTTCACTTCCGTAATGTGTCAAACCTGTTTGATCAGTTTAAAACAAAGGGGTATGAAGTAGAAAATGTAAAGCATTAAAATAAATTATGTTCAGTAATGCAACAAAAGTTTTTAATGTTATAATATAACGTGGTTTGTACAAATGAAACATAAATTAGACTTGTTGCATTTGAGAAACTATTTATAAACGTTCAAAATTGGTTGATACATGGACACTCACTCATAAAATCTGATTGCTGATGCAATCTCATACACACAATTTTTCCTCTCCTCACTTGAAAGTGTTCTAATAAAAGGTACAAGGAAGAGAAAATGTAACCTTAATTGATCTTTTCAATTTTACTGTGAGCTTTGACTTTAAACAACAACAGAGCCAAAATGTAAAAACTTACTTAGCTTGGTTTCTGTAGTAAGTGAGTTATCTAATCTAATTTTATCTAATCTGTTGTACAGGTGAGGGGTCAGTCAGGTGCACACTCAGGTATAGGTGACAAAGATCAGCCATTTTGATTAGCATGACTGAGCGCTTTCCTTACCACCTATGTTGTGTGACTGTAGTGGGATTTGGAGGCTGTAGACGCAATTTTGTTTTGATGCAGGTGCGACCAATTAGTCAAACTCTCCCAGGTTATGGAGAAGTCTCAAAGGTCATGGTTTCCAAGGATGCAGGGCAGGGCGTACACCTAAGAAATAAACTTCTGGTGTTACAATGTTTTCGTTTTTTCTAATAATAGCTTTCAAGAAAATGAGTAAGTGCATAGTGAAACTGGAAGTGGTCTAGTCCAAATGAGCATGCACGGTAATATGCTTACATCAAAAGCCATTGGGGTCTGTTGCAAGATAAGCAGTGTTTAAAGGAAATACATAAAGCTATAAAAAAGATGGGCCAGTCAGGAAAATAGATAATCATTAACAAACACCTTACAATGTCTTGCTAAAGTACAGTAACTCTGATTTTATAGTGATAGACATTAGCATAGAGTCCTTGGCTCTCCTCATGTTTCATGCCGAACTGAAAACAATTAGATGGAACACAAAAACTGGATGACTGTTTCCATCTTACAAGGCAGTTTTGGATGTTATATCTTCTCTAATACTGCCTGGTAATGATGCAGATGGTCCTCCTCAAGCATCGTTACAAATGCTTTGCATCTGGGTGTGGATTTGCAGACTATGCAAATAAACACACACACAAATACACAGAGGAAAATATGCTATGAAAAGATGTGTATTCTTTGGCTGGATCATTTGAATACTATGATGCAGAAGAAGTTCATTCATTGTCTCTAGGCTACATCTTACCCGGCAGTGCTTGATTGTTCACTGATGTTCTAACACTGTCTGGTAACGATGCACTCTGGGGGCTCAGTGACCATGACTTTAATGCAAAATGAACAGGAAATGCTTTCATAATTGTGATCAAGTGTGGAATGTAGCATATTTTGACTTTAGAATGTGTTTAAATGTTCTTTAATAAATCAAGTTAACAATTTAAAACAGGAAGACTGGATGAGACTGCTTGATAAAAATAAAGGGAGTGTAATTAAAAGACGAGGTATGAATCTAGATCCTCTCACTTAGCCATCAGTAAAGTTATGAACCCCACCCTGTTACGTCCAAATGCCTTCATGAATGCCACAAAAGTAGTTCCTCCATGCTCACACACCCTCTAATGTGTAATGTGCCATTCAGCGATCAGTTCATTCTCCTTTTCTTGTGTCTTATTGTGTGCATGACACCTGAGATCTGTGTGACAAACACTAATTGAACTGTACCTATTCACCTTTCCTGTTCGCTGTGCTGGAGAGGAAGTAATGCCAGTCAGAAAAATATTAAAAATGATTAAGTTTTGTGTGTGTGTGTGTTAATGATTTGAAACCCATTTCACTTATTTTGCAGGTCATTGTGTATTCTACGATGGAATGTGCAAAGAAAAGTCAAAGTTTTTATGTGATTTAAACAAGTTAATGATAAAAGAGAGATATAAATAACACATAGACTGAAGGGACTACTTATATGACAAATTAGTTTCTATGGAAAATGTATCTGTAGGCATGACTCAGTAAAACATTTGGTTGTATTCTGAATGTGAATGAGGAAATAAGGTAATTTTCTGCCCATTAAGTAATTTCAGGGGCGTGTTGTTTACCGAGAAATGAAAATTCTGTCATCTTTTACTCACTTTCATGTCGTTCCATACCTGTACGAGACAAACGATCACAGAAGAAGATATTTTGAATAACATTTTAGCTGTTTTTGTCTATATAAAATATACTTACCAAGTTGTCTCAAAATCAATTTGGATGCTGACGCTTAATTCTGACAATACCCCTTTGAATCTCTGCTTGCAATTTATCCTTTACTAACATCCTTTAAACAGTTTCCTTCAAGATCTTTCTCCTGAAAAAAATAACCTTATTTCTGTCCTTTTCTTTTTGTCTGCTTTTATCTCTTCTACAGTCACATGACATCAGACCCTTTCTTCTGCCTCTCCGCTGCAGTAAAATCCTCTGATTTGTGTCTTACCAGGCAAGTTTAGATGCTGATACTCTGTCTAATACTGCCTGGTAATGCCATCAATCACAAGGAATTTGATCACCATTTTTCCTTTTCCTTCCTTACTGCCACAAAGGATGAGTTTTTCATTTATTTATTTACTTTTTACACAGTGTTTAGAGTTATTATCTTTAAAAAAAAAAAAAAGTATTTTAAATGTTGTAACGGATATATGTAATTTTCTTAAACATGTATTAAAGAATATGGTTCTGACTCTTCATACTGTATGTATGCTTATTTTGCTTAAATGCACACTACATGTACATTTATTGTATATTTTGGTCAATAAACAATAAAAGTGAATTACAATCAAATTGATATTTGACTTTGTGTGTCATTTTGTATATGAAACACAGGATTGACACATTTTGACCAATTTTTTACACTTTTTTTTTGTGATTGCTGAGGATTTTTAGACATAGTTGAAATTACATAATTCAACTTGTGTGCCAGGTATAATTTATTGTATTTTTTTAAATAACAGATTTGAGCAATTATATTTTTGTCTGATCAGACAAAGTTATCACACTATACCTTTCAACATTTACTTTCCACAAAAACGTGCAGAGCAATAGATAGCCAGTAAAATATTTTAGAGCAGAGCAAAGCCAATTAAATATTTTAGAACAGAGCAAAACTAGAAAAATATACTACTATATAGGCTAGATATATTATCATACTACAATATATTGCCAAATGTTTGGGACACCCCCTTCTAACGAACAGGTTTGACTACTTTAGTCATTTCAATCAAATCTTAATGTTTAAGCATATAATGATATTCTAGGGAATTGTGTGCTTCTAGTTTTATAGCAACAGTTTAGACAGAACCCTTTTCTATTCTAACATGACAATGCCTCTGTGTATAAGGCAAGGTTCAAAAAGAAATGATTGGTTCAGTCAGTGTGGAAGAACTGTGTCCCAATACTTTTGGCAATATAGTGTATAAACATTTTGGACTGTTTTGGTTTATATAGAGAGAGTGTATGATGTGGATGGAACTCAGACAGCATGACTTTATCTTCCAGTCCACTAGATGGCAGCACTTACATCATGTGGTATTGACGGTTTACAATAACGAATAAACCGAACTGGGCTACTACTTCCTTATCACGCTTTGCGAAATAATATACAAATACAATTAATACTATCTAACAAACCGTATTTGTTGACCAACAGACATGTCTGGAATTCCGCCGGATTCTTGGCAACCCCCCACAGTATCGCTGGACACAACGTGAGTCGCAGAATAGACATTAGTACGTTAATAGATTTGTGAATGAATGAGTCACGTCTTGATAACACAGAAGTAAAGCTGTGATCGTTGGTTTACTTGTTTCATTATTTATAGATGTAGAAAAACATAAAGCTTTGCCGCATGTTTGTATTGAACAAGTTAAAGATCTAATCACGTTGGTCAGTTGTACTGGTTAGATTGTTTTAGATCAGAGATGGTGCTGGGATTCCCAACTCATTCGGTTCTTTCGAACTCAAAATTCACGGTGATTCTTTTGCGTTGTGACGTAATTACGTCTTCCCGTATTAATTTTAATTATATACATTTTAAGTTTATTTTCACTTTTAAATCTCTAAAAGATGTTGCATGTTTTACATACAGAAGCTAGATGATGCCGTGTGTTGTGAATTTCTATATTCTGCATGGCAAATACTACATTCACAAACAAAAATTTGCAAAATGTATAACTTACCAAAATGTGACTGACTTTTACTAGAAGAGGAGTCACTGAAAAAGTCATTGATGCTTATTTAAAGAAAGAAAGAAACCCTATTAAACTTTATGGAGAAATATTTACAATGTAATACCCCTACTCTACATACCTAAATATTACGGATTTTGAATGGAAAAATTACGATTTTTTTTCTCTCTTTCCTTCTTTCTTACCAGAATGGTAATACTTTAAAGGGATCTTTACTTGTCTTTTATCAATTTTGTCTTAAAAAATAAAAAATAATAATTTGCAGCTACTTAGCATATTATGACCAACCCTCACTTTACACTGTCTTTCCAGGATGGGAACTATCGTTCTAGAACTGTACTGGAATCATGCGCCAAAAACCTGCAAGAGTTTCGCAGAGCTGGGCAGAAGAGGATTTTACAACAACAACAAGTTCCACCGCATCATCAAAGACTTCATGGTTCAAGGAGGCGATCCAACAGGGACAGGTGAGGATAAAAGGAATACTAATCATTCAACACTCCTTTTAGATATTTCATTTGACAATTCCATAAGATGAATCACAGTACGCTGAATTAAGTGGCTGTTGAGAAATGGAATAAAGGTGGTGAATATGTTTTATCAAGCGAAACAATCTACCTTGTTGTCAATACAATGGACTTTAATTTTAATTTACTGTCAGTTTGTAAAATGTATTTATATAAAAATGTATTTTATATCTGCAGGTCGTGGTGGTGCATCTATATATGGCAAGCAGTTTGAAGATGAATTGCATCCAGAGTTGAAATTTACAGGTGAGTAATATAACAATTAATGCATGAGTAGATTAAATAGTATTGTTAAAAGCACTGCTATTTATAAAACTATGAAAAGTTTGTAAGCTGCTCAATAGATCCCATAAGTAGAATAAATTGCTAGGTAAATATTACTTTTATAAAAAAACTAAAAATATCCAGCATAATAACTAGTTTACAGCTTAAGTTTTGATATTACTAATCAGCCAGTGCTTGATTTATTTATATATTTTGTAGGTGCTGGAATTCTCGCAATGGCCAATGCAGGGCCAGATACAAACGGAAGCCAGTTCTTCCTCACGTTGGCTCCCACACAGTGGCTGGATGGGAAACACACTATATTTGGACGGGTCTGCCAGGGCATTGGAGTTCTTAATCGTATTGGCATGGTTGAAACCAACAGTCAGGACCGCCCTATGGATGACATTAAAATTCTCAGAGTGAATCTACCTAACTAAGACGTCTGCTTGCATAACGTTTTATGTCTTATTTTTGTACAGTCCTTTTATTACATTAAACTTTCAGAGTTTTCATAAAATATACTCTCTGCTCTCTTGATTCCCCCAGTACAAACCCATGGCCACATGGTGGTGTCTTAACTATATGAGGTTCATTACAGAAAATGTCTATTTAATGTGTACATTCCTTTACATTACAACAAATGACTCAGAAAGGTTAAGAATTATTTGGAGATGTAATTGGAGATGACAATCATGATTTCAGCACAGTCACACTGCATTAGTTGATCATAGATTTGAAAAGCTTTCTTTGAAACAGAACAAGAGAAAACTTGATCATACAATTTCTCATATCAAATATAGAAATAAAGCTTACTCATGGCACAGCACAAGGTCACCAACAGAATATGCAATCATAAATCGTGTCTTTTCTAACTCCTGGTAGTGATGCTAATTATTAAATATTCAATATTTAAAACTGTATATTGAGTAAATGTTAGGTGAAAAGCTCTAAAAAGAGTTAAACAGAAATAGCACACACAACATGGCCTAGCAGTGACTTATTTTGGCAGAACATCAGTTGGAACCAATATCACCATAATCCTGGTTTTCTGGACAGATGTTTTATGATCCTAGACTTCAAAGGATTTTTATGGAAAACCCACATTTCAGAATGCAGCTATCCTGGATTAAGCTTAATCTGTGTCTATGGAAAAAAGTAAACAAAGCCATAGAGGTTATGACCCACAAAATCCTATTATTGTTGGGGCTTAAAAATGGGTGCTTGTTGCCTATGAGTAGTATAAATTACTTGAAAGCATTGCTTTTTATCATCTGGGAGATTGGGAAAATGACCAGACAGAAATAAAAAGAATTTCTCTCTTCAGTCTGTACATTGTCTCTCTAAAATGCATGAAACACACTTCTATATAAATAAAGATACGTATGATTTACAGACTAATCTGAAGGATGTTAAAAAGATTCCTCCACTACATATTCTGATACATGTTTAATTTTTTTTTAATTTATACTGTTTTTGTTTTACATGTATAATAAATCTAAAAAGATACTAGAATATGAGTTTAAAAACTACTATAAAGACAACATAGTTCAAAACATACAACTATAAAAATGCATATGTCACCCTGTCCATGACTTGTATTTTCCAAAAACCTTGGTGCTGATTAAGCACATTTTACATAATGCCCTCAAGGTATGTGAAACACTGTATATCACTGAAAGAAATATCAATAAAGCTCTTACCATGGATCACATAAAAACAATGCCTGAAGGCTCAATTTATCTCAGAGCAGGTTAACTTGCATGAGAAAATCATAAAGAAAAATTCTAATAAGCTGTCCCCTGAGAATACCCAGCTGTCAAAATGCATGACTGCTTTGTTTCATTATGGCCGCTCTGCTTTAAGGCAATACATGTACCGTATGTGTTTGTAAAGTAAAAGTATCTGCATCTGTAAAGGCAAGATTCAGTGTTTGCTATGAAACAAATAATCATTGCTTTTTTAAAAGTATTTTGTAAAAAGGTGGGCTCACAATCAGCACTAATAGATTACAGTCCATAAATAAATGTTTTATATAAAACAAGGCACTATTAACTTTATGCAGAAGGAAGGATATATGCAGTTGTATCAGCTGTTGTCTTACTTTTGCCTTTTTAATCTATTAGTTTACCTCTCACTAGGCCACATACTGTAACAAATTTTTTTTTTACCGCCCTATGGATGACATTAAAATTCTCAGAGTGAATCTACCTAACTAAGACGTCTGCTTGCATAACGTTTTATGTCTTATTTTTGTACAGTCCTTTTATTACATTAAACTTTCAGAGTTTTCATAAAATATACTCTCTGCTCTCTTGATTCCCCCAGTACAAACCCATGGCCACATGGTGGTGTCTTAACTATATGAGGTTCATTACAGAAAATGTCTATTTAATGTGTACATTCCTTTACATTACAACAAATGACTCAGAAAGGTTAAGAATTATTTGGAGATGTAATTGGAGATGACAATCATGATTTCAGCACAGTCACACTGCATTAGTTGATCATAGATTTGAAAAGCTTTCTTTGAAACAGAACAAGAGAAAACTTGATCATACAATTTCTCATATCAAATATAGAAATAAAGCTTACTCATGGCACAGCACAAGGTCACCAACAGAATATGCAATCATAAATCGTGTCTTTTCTAACTCCTGGTAGTGATGCTAATTATTAAATATTCAATATTTAAAACTGTATATTGAGTAAATGTTAGGTGAAAAGCTCTAAAAAGAGTTAAACAGAAATAGCACACACAACATGGCCTAGCAGTGACTTATTTTGGCAGAACATCAGTTGGAACCAATATCACCATAATCCTGGTTTTCTGGACAGATGTTTTATGATCCTAGACTTCAAAGGATTTTTATGGAAAACCCACATTTCAGAATGCAGCTATCCTGGATTAAGCTTAATCTGTGTCTATGGAAAAAAGTAAACAAAGCCATAGAGGTTATGACCCACAAAATCCTATTATTGTTGGGGCTTAAAAATGGGTGCTTGTTGCCTATGAGTAGTATAAATTACTTGAAAGCATTGCTTTTTATCATCTGGGAGATTGGGAAAATGACCAGACAGAAATAAAAAGAATTTCTCTCTTCAGTCTGTACATTGTCTCTCTAAAATGCATGAAACACACTTCTATATAAATAAAGATACGTATGATTTACAGACTAATCTGAAGGATGTTAAAAAGATTCCTCCACTACATATTCTGATACATGTTTAATTTTTTTTTAATTTATACTGTTTTTGTTTTACATGTATAATAAATCTAAAAAGATACTAGAATATGAGTTTAAAAACTACTATAAAGACAACATAGTTCAAAACATACAACTATAAAAATGCATATGTCACCCTGTCCATGACTTGTATTTTCCAAAAACCTTGGTGCTGATTAAGCACATTTTACATAATGCCCTCAAGGTATGTGAAACACTGTATATCACTGAAAGAAATATCAATAAAGCTCTTACCATGGATCACATAAAAACAATGCCTGAAGGCTCAATTTATCTCAGAGCAGGTTAACTTGCATGAGAAAATCATAAAGAAAAATTCTAATAAGCTGTCCCCTGAGAATACCCAGCTGTCAAAATGCATGACTGCTTTGTTTCATTATGGCCGCTCTGCTTTAAGGCAATACATGTACCGTATGTGTTTGTAAAGTAAAAGTATCTGCATCTGTAAAGGCAAGATTCAGTGTTTGCTATGAAACAAATAATCATTGCTTTTTTAAAAGTATTTTGTAAAAAGGTGGGCTCACAATCAGCACTAATAGATTACAGTCCATAAATAAATGTTTTATATAAAACAAGGCACTATTAACTTTATGCAGAAGGAAGGATATATGCAGTTGTATCAGCTGTTGTCTTACTTTTGCCTTTTTAATCTATTAGTTTACCTCTCACTAGGCCACATACTGTAACAAATTTTTTTTTTTTTTTTTCCAATATCAAAAACTTAATCAATTTTCCCATTAAGACTAATTGACTGAACTGCTATTTAATATATAGGTACAATTGATGTAATGGCAGTTGAACATTAAAGGTTGTCTGGGGTCTTTTCTCTGTCTGTACAGGATGACAGAGTATAATGATGTGCCGAGGGTCTCTGAGACTGAGGTAGATCCTCTGCTGGAGTGCAAGCCAACTGGAGACACTGAGGGCAACACACACAAAACATTTTTCACTTATCCCTATTACATTTCAATCCATAGGAAATGAAAGAAATTCATTCCTGTTGTGAAACAACTGTTGCCTGCTGGTTCTGTTAAAGGTTTCAGAAACATTTCCAGACATTAAAATTTTCAATAAAAAAGCATTTATTTTAAATTTTCTTGACAACACCTACCTCCCAGAAAGTCCCTTTTCCCATGTAGAGTTTGTAAATCATGTTAATGGGGATGAGAGAGAGAGAGGATGCTGTGAGGAAACAGCCAATACCGTATGCCCACCACGGATACATATATGTGTTATTAAACTTCAGGGGACTGTACTTGACCAGAGAGAAGATAAAGGTGCCCTACAGGACACAACTGACAAAAATGTAGTTTGATTCTTTTGTTTGTTTGTTTGCTTTTTACATATGGTGCATATTAAATAGTGTGTTTCACTCAAATGTGTTCCCATTTTACCCTGTAATAGAAACAGACTTACTACGCAGACAGAGGGGGTGACATAGAGCCAGCAGTACTTCATCATTGGCCAAGGTTTGTAGCCAATCATGTCTTCTATGTTCTCATAGAATCGGTCAGCACCTTGGAGAGAATAAGCACATAAAGCCCAATGAAAAAGTAGTAAGTACAATTTAAGGCATATTTAAGTGTGGGCTACTCACCATATACCCAGCCAATGGCCACAGACTGACATGTAGCCAGGAACAGGAGAGTGGTTCCACTACACACGTAATGATCAAACAACTGAATGATGTACAGACCACCCTGTGAAACAGAAAGTAGGATACTTATAAAAGCAATGATATTCTAAAGAACAGTATGCAAAGCCATAGACTGTACATGTTTGATCTCAGTGTAACATAAGTGAATTGCAAATCTGAACTGATTTAGGGTTGACTGTAAGGTTGCTTGTTGATTTTTAATTTATTAGCTGAGTTAGGGTTTGAGTTAGGGTTAGGGTTAGGGTTAGGGTTAGGTTAGTTTAGGCCCACCTCTGTGATCATGAAGAGGCCCATCAGGTAGCAGACAAGGCAAATCCCTAAAAGCAGCAGCTCTCTTCTAAAACCATGTCTCAATACCGTGGGAAAGATGTCTGTCACTGATGTCACTATGCTCTCCAGTCCAACAAACTGAGTGACACCAAAAAGGACATTGGATGGGGAGGCAGGAACAGGAGGAAGAGCAAAGCAACAGATGTTAGGCTAAGAAAGAGAAGGAGGTCTAACCTGGCTGTCCAAGCCCAAGAGGATGATCATGATAAAGAAACACACAGCCCAGAACTGAGACCATGGCAACATTGTCACTGCCTGAGGATACACTATAAACACCAGTCCTGGACCTGACAACAGCCAAGGGAGGAGGTACAATGACCAACACGACCTAAAGTATCTTACAGTATCCATGCATTACACCTTTCATTAAATAGCGATCAAATAAATAATGGGATGTGAACTAAAACCCAGTAGGATAAAAAATAAAGGAGTCTGCCTTAATTTGTTTGATTATTAAAGACCATTGGCATAGGCAGTGACAATTACGTATTAAAACAAAAAAATGTTATTCAATTTACATTTCTATTTGATAGTTTATTTGGTATGTTGGAATGTATTGTTCAAAAAAAGAACAATAAAAAAAATAAATTCTTACCAGACTCGGCCACAAGGGATATGTCCACCCCTTGCTCCTGTGCCATGTGTCCCAGAACAGAGAAAATGACAAACCCACCTAAAAAACTGGTTCCGCTGTTCAGCAAGCAGAGGTAGAAAGAGTCCCTGTAGGATTTTTTTTTTTAGAAATGCTCAAATTAACACAGTCACATCAAAATAGTGTGTCTTTTGTGTAAAAATTGTACAATAATGTGTAATATTTGATATATATATATAGAGAGAGAGAGAGAGAGAGAGAGAGAGAGAGAGAAATCTATATAAAATTCTATAATAGAAAAATAAAAAATAATAATAATATTTATAACATATACATAGATAATTATATTACTAAGATGATTATTTTAATAAATAATCAATTAGCCTAAACCTACACTATAGACCTCAAACTTCACATAGCAAATAGTGTGTCTTTTGTGTAAAAATTGTACAATAATGTGTAATATTTGATATATATATATAGAGAGAGAGAGAGAGAGAGAGAGAGAGATGAGAGAAAAGGACCAATTTCAGAACTACAGATTAAATTAATCTCGTTTATCAGTAAAATATTATACTTCATATTATGCACACTCACCTATAACAGTTATTGTTATACTGATTATAGCTTCCAAGGGAGCTGAGGTATCCAAGACATATGGCGTAAGAGTAAAAGATTTGAGTCCCAGCATCCATCCATACCTTACAAAAAGACCAAATGAGCTATACAATTCAGAAAGAGCAACATAAAAAACAGGATATAGCAAAAAAAAATAAAACAAATTGAGGTGGTTGATTAATTTATTAATCCAGATTTTCAGTAAACCATTCTAGGCTTTCAAATGCCTTTACCTGTGGGTCAGCTAGCCGTGTCAGATCTGGGTACATGTAGTAGTGGATGCCGTTGACGGCACCAGGTAAAGTGACCCCTCGTAAGAGCAGTATCAGGAGCATAACGTAAGGGAATGTTGCTGTGAAATAGACTGCCTATAAATATAATAAATATTTTAGTTTTTTAGCTTTTAATTGAAAGTAATATACAGTACCTGGGTATTGCATGCTAAAAATTGTTTCCTGATACTGGTAATAAAAAGATTTGAAATATTTACATATTTAAGCCATTTGCAGGACATTTTGTCATTACGCTCTTAGCATTTTCTTAACAGGTAGTACGAATGTGTGTAACCTTCCCAGTAGATTTCACGCCTTTCCAGATGCAGAAGTAGATCAGGATCCAAACAAGTAAGAGAATAAGAGCCAAGTCCCACCTTACTGTGCCCAAATGATGTATTCCACTGGACAGTTGCAAAACTCTGTGACTGAACACGCAGAAAGCATTTAAACGATATAATAAAACAGTGAGTTGGCTGACTTATATATGTGAAATGATAGACACAATCAAAACATTTTCATATTCATACACCATGGTACACCATTTTAACATGGTACCATGTCCAGTAAAATCTATAAAATGTAACTGTTATTTTATTTTATTTTCAGTGTATGTTCATTGCATGATTTTTATTTAACTCACCGCCAGAATTCCATCACAGAGGAAGAAGCATTAAGAGGAGATGTCCAGCCTGAACTAGAATTCTTCCCACTAAGCACAGTACAAGCATCTAACACCAAAGAGATACAAATGGATGAAAGTATATAACATAGTGCTAACAATCATGAAGAAGCCATATACACCCAGACCTAACCTGATGAAATTTATCAAAACATCTGGTTCATACATAGTAGCTAAACAAGATTCTATACATTTCCTACTCTATTCCTGGCATAAGCATCAATGTTTGGTAAAAGAGGGTGCAAAGGGAAAAATACATTATCTAATAATATAAGTAGTTGCCGTGTGTGTACTGACACATTTAATATAAACAATGTAATCACAATAAAAAAATTCACAAACTTGCGTGAAAATGCTAGCTATGACAACTTGATTAAATTGCTCCAGAACATATATAAAATGTCCTACTTTGACTAGATTTTTAAAAAAAGAAAAGATTAATGTGCCAGCACCCCATTAAAAAACCCAACCTATGAAAAAATATAATTGTGATTCAAGGCCTACATTCATACAAAGATACATACATCTGACCTTTAACCAAATGTACCTGTGTTCCACAGATTGCTGCAGCTGGCCCAGGGCAGTTCCACACTGAAGGCTGAGAAGAGGTACAGGAAGGCCCAGACTATGATGATGATGTAGGTAATTGAGCCATAGACAATAATAATTTGACTGGCATAACCCATTCCTGAAAAAGAGAGCTGTGTTAACACTGACTTTTTAAACAAATGTTACCTTATTTTACTTGCCAATGAATTGAAATCATGTAACATACAGTATACAATAAAAATATGAAAAAGTATATGCTAGAGATAGAGGACGCTGTTTAACATTTTATAACTTATAGTTTAGCAATTAGCAATAAAAGCTTGGTGTTGTGGATCACTAAATTAGTATAATAGGTGAAAACTAGTTTCTGCAATAAAATGTAATTGCTGAAAAAATAAATTATTTTTCATATAAATTGAAATTTATACTATTAACACATTGAATTAAAGACCACAGAAACACTGTTAGCAAATGCATTACATTTCATACAACAGCAGAATCAAGTCTGTAATTACAAGTCACAAAATATTTAAAAAAGCGAGAAGGGTCTGGCTGCAGCCTCGCACTTGCACTCTCAGACTTGCATTCTCAGACACTTGCGCTTCCGCTAGCAACGTCACTTGCAGGCTTTATTTTTTATTTTGTTCTATTTTTTATTACTTTTTGTTTGAATCTATCAACATTTTACAACAGTAGCCAGGTGGTGAAGACAAGAAAAAAGAAACTAAATTACAATGTCACTTGCAATCGCCACTTGCACTCTCCGCTACCTGCGACGTCACTTGCAATCGACACAAATGGTGCGTGTTGCCAATGGAGACAAGATGCTGTGGTGATTAAACGATTAAAACTAATTTAGTACTATAACATACAGGGTCCTGCAAGAAAAAGACAAGACCCACAAATCCGTGACCACAGAACCACAGATGCGCAAAGTCTCTCGTTAAGCGTTTTCCTCCTGTAGAAAAACATAAACACTTAACATGGCGTAATGTATTAAGATGCTATTAAAATATCAAATTAAATATACAATTTATTAATATAATGAATATGTATATAGTATTTTCCTCCCATACCGCAAAACGTGGCATAATGTGGCATAATGGACTAAAAAGGCCAAACTCAATATGCTCCTCTACATTATTAATATACATAACTAATATATACATGCAAGCAGGTGAGCCTAGAATAAACGCAACACGCAGAGTTTCGTGTTAAGCGTTTTTCCATATAGAATAAACTGATAACTATAAATTGAATTTGATCTTTCAATTGAACTTAATGTATCTTAATACATTACGCCATATTAAGTGTTTATGTTTTTCTACAGGAGGAAAACGTTTAACGGGAGACTTTGTGCATTAAAAGAAATTGTGCATATTCTGCTGTTCTGTGGCGACGGATTTGCGGGTCTTGTCTTTTTCTTGCAGGACCCTGTATGTTATAGTAAAATTAGTTTTAATCGTTTAATCACCACAGCGTCTTGTCTCCATTGGCAACATGCACGATTTGTGTCGATTGCAAGTGACGTCGCAGGTAGCGGAGAGTGCAAGTGCAAGTGACATTGTAATTTAGTTTCTTTTTTCTTGTCTTCACCACCTGGCTACTGTTGTAAAATGTTGAGCGATTCAAACAAAAAGTAATCAATAAATATAACAAAATAAAAGCGGAAGCGCAAGTGTCTGAGAGTGCAAGTCTGAGAATGCATGTCTGAGAGTTCAAGTGCAAGGCTGCAGCTAGACCCTCTTGAAAAAAGCGGAATATTAACTATATGCTACAAACCTTTATTTATTTCAAAGAGACATATGTATATATGTAATTTCACTACATTTTAAGAAGCGTCACATAATGCATACAAACTGAGAAGTGAGCAGCAACCCACCTTCAAAAAGAGGACAGACCTTTCTCCAACATGTGATGCCTCCCTGACTTGTATACTGACCCAAAGATGTCTCAAGCACAAAAAGCGGGATACCACAAGTGAGCAGGTACAGGACATATGGAATGAAAAAAGCCCCTAAGGATTTAAGAGAGTCATTAAAATATTATATACTATATATTATATCATATTAAAAATAGATAGAATTATATTAATAATAGATAGATAGAATATTGTTTAGGAAAAAAGTTCCTGTTTTATGATTAATGTTACCCACCTGGAATACAAATGTAATTCACATAGAAAGGTGTAACTGATTGTGAATATTAACTGGCTTTATAATATAATAAACAAGCACAGGGATTTATTTTAGTATATTTGCTGCCGAAGCAAGCATGCACAGGGATTTATATGTAAACTAACAAACAGATGATTTATAAATAAATGCTTTTTAATAAATTCAGATTATGTAGTCCCTTAGTCTCACATAAAATTAAAACCATAACCAAACCTATCATAAACTATCTAAAGTATTGTCCAAAACTACTTACCTCCTCCATTTTTATAGCAAAGATATGGGAACCTCCAAACATTTCCAAGCCCGATTATAGCTCCGGCCACAGTCAGCAGAAATTCGATCTTGTTTGCCCATTGGCCTCTCTCTTCGGGACTTAAATCAGCCTGTTGGTTCCCTGTCCGCCTGGTGGAGGAGCCTGCCATTCTCACAGTGTTTATGCCTGTGTCTGTCAGCGCTTATGTAGGTGTGTGTGTGTGTGATTCGAAGAAGGGTGCTTGTGTATTAGCGTGATTCTTTACCACAGCTTTTAAGCATTACCAGGGGTGGGCGGCGGGAGCTGAGGCTGTCAGGTGTTTTTATCCTGAGGGCGAGAGTAGAGATGTGTTAACTTGTTCTTCCTCTTAGTTTATTAGTTCTGTGACTACAGGCATTTTTAATTAAAAAAAAGGTTTCTTCTCAGCAGTCATCAGTCATGCCGTGACCTGTGCAGTTCTTCCAGTGCCCTTTACTCAGCTTCTGGTTATGGAGGGTATGAGGGGTTGATCTGCTGACTAGTAACCCGACAGCTGCTAGCCATTATCTCTGTACTTTCGTCTGTGTTCAGTGATTTCTGAGACATGGGGGAAAAATGGGTACCTGCCACTAGCAATTTTTCCATTTTGATTATAACTTGAATGCTCTTAAAAATGTACTCTTTGATTTCTCTTTATAAAAAAGTTCTACCCCCTAAAATCATTTTAGACCAGCAGAACTTTATACTTCCTATACTGTTGGCTAAAATGGAGGTTAAATCAACTTGAAAGTAAAGTAGAAATATAAATATCTATCTCTTATAGAAACATTACAACTGTGTCCTGGCATAAGGAATTTCACAATAGAATATTCTGTTGGTACCATAAGATTTTAATGATATTATTTACATTTATTTTTTAAATTTAATTTTACAAAGTAATTGTGTTTACAATCCCAATATTTCACAACTATGATAAATCAGCTTTGACACATAGTAAAGAAATTGTTTGAGATTTGTGTATGTTTATCTAACAAATAAGGGGTCTTTTATGAATTTACTCTTTGAATTAAATATTAAGGTGCTGTTTTTTCCTACTGCCATTTAAGGAGTCTGATATGAGGAATGTCACATTTTGATTTAGACTGTGTTTATGGCTTCTGTTCATTGCTTTCATGGGAGACATTCATATCTGAGAAGTGCTTGGTTATGACTATAAGCTGCATTAGCAAGGTCAAGATGGCCTTGTGTTAAGAATAAACTACTCAAAAATATGATTTGATGCATAATTTAATAATAGTAAGGATCAAGCATTGCAATAAATGATGCAAGCTTTAAGTTCTCATACTATCTTGGATGAACTTAGTGTTTTTATAACTTAATTTGACCTGTAAACTTGCTCTGCAACCTCTTTGTCTCTATTGTCTTGACTCCGCCCTCCTTACAAAATTCATGCTTATATCATCTCAATAAATGACTAATGGGAACATTACACAACAGCTTTTATAACACAGGATTTTATATAACTCAGGATTGAACTGTTTTTAAAAAAATATCTGTTATTTAAGAGTTGAATCATCTGAGTGATTACAGATTCTTTGGAATTCCCATTTTTCCTGCTGGATTAGGTGAAGGATGAGAAGGCACTGTAGATTACATACAGTGGGTACGGAAAGTATTCAGACCCCCTTAAATTTTTCACTCTTTGTAACGAAGGAGTGGCTTCTTAACAACTCTGTGACTGTTCTTGAATGGCCCAGCCAGAGCCCTGACTTAAACCCAATTGAGCATCTCTGGAGAGACCTAAAAATGGCTGTCCACCAACGTTTACCATCCAACCTGACAGAACTGGAGAGGATCTGCAAGGAGGAATGGCAGAGGATCCCCAAATCCAGGTGTGAAAAACTTGTTGCATCTTTCCCAAAAAGACTCATGGCTGTATTAGATCAAAAGGGTGCTTCTACTAAATACTGAGCAAAGGGTCTGAATACTTAGGACCATGTGATATTTCAGTTTTTCTTTTTTAATAAATCTGCAAAAATGTCAACGATTCTGTGTTTTTCTGTCAATATGGGGTGCTGTGTGTACATTAATGAGGAAAAAAAATTAACTTAAATGATTTTAGCAAATGGCTGCAATATAACAAAGAGTGAAAAATTGAAGGGGGTCTGAATACTTTCCGTACCCACTGTACATTAACTGAATGACATTTATTAATTGATGTATTGTATAAGCCGGTACAAAATGCCTCTTAAATATTTTCTATGAGTAAAAATGTGATGAGAAAAATGTCTTAAAATTGTCCGCTTGGCAATCAGATTAAATTCAATAAAATTCAAGGTATTTAGTATTAAAATAGTATTTCATTAATATACAATACAACTGTTATCTATATATCAGTGAAATCATAATAATCATTCTATAATTTGTGGTAGTTTATTACCAGCAATTCAATTTAATCACACAATAATGTAGTCCTGTAGCTTTACAAACTGTCAGATAGATTAACACTGATAAGCAAGGCGAGTTTTGTACGAAAATTATTCAAGTATTGACAATTTAATTACACTTAATTACATCAAGTGTATGAAAATGTTTCGACACCTTTGGCAAATTCTTCTAGAATTACATCAGCCATGCCTGTCAATTTTTATGATGATATTTTGCACAACTTCTGCGCAGTTAACATATCTTACTCAGCCTAGATGTCAGAGCACCTGACTGTAGTGCAGAACCAACGTCTATATTTTCTTTTTAAAATTAAATAATAGAAAAAAGGTTAAATCATTATTTGTTGCAATATGTGTACATTATAGTTCGTTCAATTAACAAAATATTAATGAATCAAAATTTGGTCAAATAGAATTATTGCTCTAACTAAACATCCAATTTATTTTGCGTTGTATACACCTTGTTAAGAACATTGTACACATCCACATTTTTATTTTGCTTGTCAGATAATTATACATAATATCATAATAGTCTGAAGTGCATCTTGACATTTTTAGTTCATGTTTTGTTTTCCTTCATTCTCTGCAGTTACAAGCGGTAAAACAGTAAAATATGATAATAAAAACAACCATTATATAGCCCATTTAGTTTGTATCCCCAAAGAATTTAAAACAAACAAACAAATCATCATGTGTCTTGTTTTGGTGGTTTGCTATATAAATATGAAACAGTTAAATATGATACAGTTAAATAATTGGTACTTTGTTTAAACATACTTAACTGTTACAGGGTGAAGTTGCATTCTCAGGTGCAGTTAAATGTGAAAACCTTTCTTTTACTGTTAGATCATGCCTCCATGCCAGAAATATCAGGTCCAGCCCTGGATGCCAAATCCTGTCAGAAAATATCCATTTTGTCTGGTAACAGAACAACTTGTAGGCAAATTGTCTAATACCCAAAACCCATCATCACCAGCGAGTCTTGTCTAGAACTTGTCTGGTACCCAAAACTGCATTAATAGTCTTCTATCAGCCAAGAAGTTGACTGAGTAAAGCCAGAGAAGAGTAGAAGCAGGAGATGAAGAGTTTATTGAATAATCACTTGCGTATGTTTTAGTGCTTAGACTTCTTCTGACCAGTAAAAAGTGTTATTATACCACAAGCCATAGCAACGGAAAATCACTACTTCACAACTGTGACATTAAAAACCTTGAAAAAAAAGTAATTCGCTTATCTCTTATACTCATGAAGACAAATAGCCCTTGAAACCACACACCGTAAGACTAAACAACAATGTAAAAATAATAATATTAAAACCAGTAATATAAATGACTAATCAATGGTTATAATGAATATTATAAATGATTATATGATTAAATTTAATAAAATGAAAAAATTTATTCTACTGAAGTGGTCTACGCCTCAGGTTCCACCTGATACTATGTGGATATAGTATCAGGTTTGGGGAGGGGAGGTATCCAAAGCACATCAACTTGTCACTGGGGTTCCTCAGGGATCAGTTCTTGGACCCCTCCTCTTCTCCATATACACAACATCACTGGGTCCCATCATACAGGCACATGGCTTCTCCTACCATTGCTATGCTGATGACACACAGCTCTATCTTTCATTTCAACCAGATGATCTAACGGTAGCTGCACGGATCTGTTTGTTTGTGTGTTTGTCTGATTGTTTTGATTGTTAGTGTTCGTATTATTTGAAAATCCTTAATAAAATTTTTTTTAAAAATTATTAAATGATAAATGATTATGAATGAATGAATGACTATAAAATAAAGTAAGTAAAACTCGACTCAAATGTATGATTGCTCTCCTGAAGCAAGACACACACAGTTTGCATTTGAGGATCCTTAGATCCGTCATTACCAAACTGCCAGTTTTGTGCGTGAGAGAGAGAGAGAGAGAGAGAGAGAGAGAGAGTACTAAAGTACAAAAGTACAAAATAACAAATATTTATTTGTTCTCAGAATATTCCAGCCTGATCTTGTTTATGGGAAAGGAACATTGGGCGTCCAAGGGTTTAGTCATTTAAGAAGGCTAATGTTTTTGTTCTTCATTAAATTATATCACAAATGTCTTAGCTGACAAAAACGTGTCCAAAAACAATAATAAAGGCAATTTAGCTAAATCAGAAATAACAGATTTTGGATGTTCTGTATGTCTAATGTTTACAAATCCAATTCAAACCAGACTTGTGGATGGTCTGAAAGCCAGTATCTTATCTCTGGATATGTTTCAATCCCATCAGTCAAACTAGGATTGCGTTTCAATTCCGTTTCCACCACTGTGACCTTACTGCTCAGTGCATCATGTAGCCTATATAAGCAGCTTTCTGCCAGCTTCTACATAACCTTAATAATGAGTAAATAAATAAGAAGAGATAATGTACAGTCAGCACAAAATAACCTGTATCAGTTTGTAGGCTATTTTGACATAATGGTCAATTTTGAGATATTGACCAATTCACATTATTTTCATTCTGCGTACTAACAATGCTACTCACCTAATGTTCATTTGAATTGAAATTATTTTATAATCTTACCTGTTATATAGAGCTTCCGCTAAGAAAACAGCACTTTGAGGTCTCATTTTCAAGACATTGAGACTCAAGTTGGCGCTATTTGGGTTTGTTTGAAAGAAGAGAGTCCGTGTGATGTGTGGTTTGCATAGGCGAAAATTACTAACGATTAATAGGCTATATACACGTGATATCAAATAATTATTAATAAGCTGTATTTTACTCTTTCTGAAGATTATGAGTGGTGCTTACCTGTGTAGGCCTAC